GACCTCCATTGATTACGTTGGTTGGGGCATGTGTTGCACATGTCACAAAATAGGTTACCACGGAAAGCAATGTTCGTCGAGGCAAGTAGTGGTTAGAATAAAGATAAGAGTGATCAAGCTAAGATCTGGTACGAGGGTATGAAAACCATAACCGGGAGACTCGGTCACAAAGGGTATGAAAACCTTGACAAGGGGACCGGATAACTTACGTCCCGTAGGATCCCTGGCTGAGAACCTCGGGATGATCGTAACCGATGGTGAGAGACATTGAGTGAAATGGCGGAGTGTCGTAAACAGTTGAATTCGTGCATCTTCTCAATTTCTTGGTAACAATAGTCCACTGAAACTCTTCATTTTATATTCAACTGGACTTTAATTTTCCTGTCTTTTGTCTACCGTTCATTCAAATGAGCAGCCAAAAGACAACAATCAAAACCGGTGAACTAAAATGCATGGTTAATGGTTATTCAAACTTAATTGAAACTGAGAGACCCACAGCCGCATAACCTAACCTTAACTGAGACATAGATAACAAGATATTCGCAGTTATTTATAAGTAATCAGGATGAAACAAAATAAGCTGTTCTAAAACAATGCTATGCTAGACTAATGGGTGTCTTGTCCTGTGACAGTTAAAAGTCTAAGGTATACAGGCTTGTTTCGAAGTTATTATTGAGTAACTAGAATAAAAAAGCTAAGATTAGATTATGAAAACAATGACTGTCTTCGCGCGTGCTGAAAGAAGCGGCGCGGCGGTCAGACCATGACATGAGCCAGAGGCATGAATAAGCTGGCTTCAGCTTTGGCTTCGGTTGGTGCAGCGCGCCTTCCAGGTTGGAGCCCAACGGATGGGGATTGTCGTTGGTTAGAGACGCTGAGAGATATAGCCCAGAATAGAACTCAGTGGCGCGAATGCTGTACGGTCTGCCTGTCGAACTCCCGTGCCCCGTAAAAAAAATATCGAAAGGTGTATGGTGAAACACACGAAATTTGTTTTATTATTCTAAAATTCTTCCGTTTTCGCGTGTTTAACTGTTTCACGCCCTTTTCACCCTGTTCTCTACCCCAATCCACCTGTTCCCTTTCATCTGTATTGTAATTATTGCTATTGCGTTGGCACCATGCTTGTCTACAAGCCGGTGGTAAATATATATATAATTATATATATATATAGGCTGCTGTTATCAGAGACACCTATCAAGCGTCTTCTGAGCACACCACGACTTTTTCGATAGGAAGCTCAATTTATACTGGGGGAGGTAACATTCAGATGCCAATCAGCGGTATAATTGTGCTGCTTGAGGTGTTGAAGAAAGACAATTTTGTGGTATGCAAACGGGTTACGGATCCCCGTACTAAGACTTTTCAGTGTGAGAGGCGCAACGGATGGCTCCATATATCATGTGCAAATCTTACCCCGGTGGAATATTATATTTTGGGGGCCTTTGAATTAGTTTTTGAAAGTCGTGTGTACCCAATATGTGGAATTTTTCCATACATATCTCCTGGTCCAGACAGTGTTTAGCCCTTGGTGCTGAGGGAGCTTGCTGACTTCGTCCCAATACCGTCCGCCAAACTGTTTAAGGTCTCTATCCGGACTGGACGAATACGGTGGAACTGGAAAGCGGCCGTAGTTCTGCTGTCTAAAGATGTGGATAAACAAGCTCCAGTCGGTTATCCACTGGTGACTCTAACTTGTGTGGTAAATAAGGTGCTGGAAAAATTGGTAGTAAAGCACATCACTCGTCACCTGGAACCGCAAAACCCTTCTCCCCGACAACACGGCTTCCTACCGGGCTGCTTCTGCCTTTGTAACCTCGTCTCGGCTCGTGAACATCGGTCGCAGTCCAAAACTGCAGGTTATCTCACGGATGTTGTATTCTTGGATTTCAGCAAGGTATTTGACAAGGTGTCGCATGCGAAACTTTCGGTGAAATTGAGGTGAACGTACATCCAGCACCCGTTGCTATCATGAGATGAAGACTTTCTAAGGAACAAGCTATTCTTGGTGAAAGTGTCTGGGGCAAGATCACCGTGTTTGACAGTTTCCAGTGGTATTCCGCAAGGGTCGATACCGCGGGCAATACTGTTTATGCTTTTAATCAAAGACTTGCCAGACCGTTTGAATTCAAATGTCTAAAACTTTGGAGATCAATCCATTTGGAACTTGACAGGAACACGAGAACAGACGAAAAAAGCCGGTGCCTAAGTTTGGAGAATCCTTGGAGATGTTCACCGTTCCTTTTCCGAACTATCATATATCGGTTTCAGTACGCTGTACACCTCTCATGTCTAACCTCGCTAGGATTTTACGAGCTCGTAATGCATCCTTGAACAGCAACCGTATTTCAGAAGTTGGTGAGGGTTGAACGTGCTGCTTTTTGCCTTATCANNNNCGACGAGGCTGCTCCTAAACGTGATGTGACAGTTTGCGTGTCCCCATGATTCTGGGAGCTGGTGAATGTGTTGGCGGACTGTAACCTGAAAGGAAAAGGCTGAAGGTAACTTCTACCAGGTGTATGTGAAATTAAAATAACATCTGCGTCGGTTAGAACCACCCATAGTGGAGCCGTTCAAGACGTAAAAATAGATTATTTTGACAGCATCAACTCATCATCATCATCATCATCATCATCATCATCATCATCATCATCATCATCATCATTAGTAAACCAAAATTCACTGATCGCTGCCAAACTCGTGATGCGTACAGGGTTAGTGTTAATATGTAACGTGGACAGGTATTGACCTATTTTGAGGGAGAGTCAACTCACAGAGTACACAATCTAACTGTGCACACATACCGTTTCATTCTGGTCTGAGTGAAATGACAAGAAAACGTCATTGCTGTCAGTTCAGTGCCTTCAACCAACCAGTTACAGAGTCTTTTGGGTTCCAATCTGAAAGGCTGGAGACACCTACTCTACCTAATAGCTCTGTGCATTTCTACATGCCTCGTCTCCACGTCATCTGTTGGCCTCCACAGGTTCTGTTCAGCCAGGAGAGGCTACAGGGAATAAAAAGCGGCACGGCAGATTACAGCTGAGCATAAGTAATACGTACCATAGCCAGCAAAACCTACTACTCTTAATTCGAGCTAGTAAGTTTATCCTTGATAAACTCCCAAACACACGATAGCTTACCTCCAGATTACTAACCCTTTCGCTTCATCCCACTTCTATTTGATGGATAACTTCCGCTAGCAAATTCAAGGTTTCACAACCATGAATCAGAACTGAACGAAGGGTAGCAAGATATACTTCAGTGAGACGTTGCGTCTACCCCACAGGTGTTTCGGTTCTGCGTGTGCGCCTGCATGCGAGCCCTGGAAATGCGAGTGGTTACCTCCTTTGATGCACTACCACCATGGGTCAGAACTAAGTAGGAAAAGCAAACCACTATAAATAATTCCTGGTTATTTAGTTTCAAAGCAGGACTCGCATTTTTTGTTTATTTCTCGTTATTCACCTTAACTGTTTGGCCTCCTTTTGCTTTGCTTTGTATCCAAATTCTTGTTGTTGCGTTCGCACCAACCTTGCTCGCAAGCCGGTGCTAAAAAGTTCAATTTACGAAGAGACACATGGGGTAAGTGAGATGCTATTCGAGCAAGCAGAAGTGCTCCTCGAGTGAACCCGAAGCATGAATTCCATTTTTTTATAATATAAGTTGATCGCACAATTATTTGCGCTTTCATCTGGACGGAACAATGGACATTACAGCAAAACAAGTATACATAACATTTTCAAGATTGAAGAATAATATTTCTGATTCGTGAATGGATTAGTAATTTTACATCAATGGAAGAAATTACTGATTACAAACGTGAATATCAAGGTTGAAACAAAGAAAAACATTGAATATATACATTGCTTCCAGTATTTTACGTTCATTTCATGCAATTTCAGACACCGTTCAAGCTGTTGAGGACGGTATAGAATGATTAATTATCTTAAGACGATGATTTCAAAAGTTGATTCAAGTTCTTACACTAATATGAGCACTTAAACGTTACCCAGGCAAAGGAGGCAGAAATTTATAAGGTATTGGTTGTGTGGATCCCTTGGTTAATAGCTAATCCCAAATCGTGTTTGATAGGCACTTAAATTGTCTGACCGATGAAAAGTCGAAAGCCTCTGGTAGCCTTTTGAAGTAGACTGTTCTTACTGCTGATAACTTTGTCGCATTATTGCACACTCTCGCGCCGTGGATCAGCTTGAGGTGCTTTCCGCGCGGTCTCTGGTAGCGCTACGTCCTACTATCGCTTTTACATTTGTTTCAATATTATTGATCAATATTTATTTAGGAGCAGACAAAAGTCTTATTAAATTACAAAAGCCATCCCAATTTCAAATCTTCTTGTCTTTTTCAGTTGATACAGAATTTCCTCTGCCTTCTGGGCGGTCATCTGGCACTGTGAAACGTTTTAAAATCACCATGCACCTTGATTTCCAGATACTTCGCCCAATCATTACATATTTTATTATTGTGACAAATGATTAAGACGTGACTATTCAATTCGTTTTTGTAACATTGAATTTTGATTGAAATCAAATTAATTTGGTGGGAAAAACTCATCCTGTAAGAAAGAAAACCATCTGCTGGAAGAAGGATTTTCAAATTTTTGTTACGTTTAAAGTAAACTAATATAGAACTAGTTTTTCCCACAGAGTACTTGAATACTGATACGCAACAATTGAGTCAGGTTTTATATTTCTGTAACCGTGACCACATTTTAGCTGCCACAATCGTACATCCGATGTGTGATCAAGCCCCCATTTTTCAAAAGGACCTTCCCTTCCATATTTTACCCGGTTTGATAACAACAGGCCAATACGATGGTCAGAATGCTATGCTATCTTTTATATCACCAAATGGAAAGGTAAGAATAATTCTTTTAGTCAACAAGTAATTTTTAGGTTATATTGGAGAAAGACAGCCAATTGGCATCCACACTTAATCCAAACATAAAGGACCGATATCGATTTTATCCAGCTCCACCGATGTGTACGTCCATTATGGCTGGTCGACTGAGCAATCCGGCAGAACGCGATATTCTTCTTCTGGGATCCCAGACAGGAGTGATAGCATATGATGCGTATGATCATGTAGACTTGTTCTACAAAGAGGTTGTTGAATCTTACTAATGCAGTTTATACTGTTACTATTCCAGATGCCAGATGGAGTCAACGCAATGCTGATTAGCGATCAGTTAGGAACAAGAGATCACCCCATCGTTGTGATCGGTGGTCGCTGTTCTATTGTTGCACTGAATGAGACGGGAGCGGAAGTGTTTTGGACAGTGACGGGGGAGTCGGTGATGTCATTAACTGTGATAGAGTCAGAAATACCATTGGACACGACAGAAGAACCATCAAATCAACTGGTTGTCGGATCAGAAGACTATCGAATTCGAATCATGCAGAAGAATGCAATCGTAAACGATTTGAATGAAACCGAGGCACGCTAATCTGTTGTATTTTTTTACGTGCCGATAGCAAGTTTACACACTAGAGGTTAACATATTATTTTTGTTTTCTATAAAACCTAAGTAAGATTTTGATGCCGTCCTGCTGTTTAGGCGTTTCTCAACAAGGGTTTCAAAGACATTCAATATAAATGTCACCATACTTCGGGACTGAAAAACATCTTAAAAGTTAAGGTTAAAATGACAAGAGTTTAACTCGTTTTTTCCAAAAACGAATAAAAGTGCTTCCAGTTAGAAACATAAATTTTGAATTGACACAATACAACCAATCTATGACAGAAAAGTCGTCAGTTAGCTTCGATTCATTATTGCATTATATGGCAATCAACCAAATAAGGGGTATTTATAGCTAAAAAGTAAATGTCACTTTCTCTCTCACAATTCTGACTGTTTCAAAACTGATTGTGTTTTCTTCAAATAACACCGAGTGGTGATTCACTCCAGTAGTAAAAACAAAAAGTTTAAGGAGTAGGTAGAACTATCTCCTAGATGGAAGAGTTGAATAATGATGGTTTTTGCCAGTTTTTTGTAGCATTAATTTGAATTCTTTTCCGATTCTTTTTACTGTCTGCTGTGTATTATCCAGCGTGTGGTTTTTGACTAAAAGTACAAAAGTACAAAATTAAATAAATGATAAACGTGTAGGATGCCTATCCTTCCCCAATCTTACTTTGCTTTACGGCGGCTGGCTCCTGGGGGAGGATAAACCGGCTTCATGGATACCTCGAATTGCGGCTACCCACGCTCGGCGGTCTGCTGCAAGATCAGCGCAGATTGTGATTCAGCGATTACAGTAGACAGAGCAGAGAACAAGGTTTTCTATATTCTTGCGTACCATTTCAAGCCAGGTTTTCAGCTGTCCACCATATTGACAGCGCCAGTTCGGGCAGGGAGGCGGTGTCAAGGCAGATTTGGTAAGGTCGTTATCCGACTCTCGAGGTGTGACCAAACCACTGAAGTTGCCTCCTTTGCATTAGCGTCTGCAGCCGTATCCGATTATAAAACACCAGTTTCTGACCACTTCATTTGAGAGCTGATCCCTACATAGAACTCCCAGAATGATTCTTAGGCACCAGTGATCGAGGACTCCTAATCGTCAACAGTCTTTAACTCTAAGTGACCAGGTTTCACAATTACCTTACACAGGACGGGCTGCTGCGGAGAAAAAATCTAATTTTTGTCTTTTAGCTCATTTCATTTCTACACCAAAGGTATTCAGCTGTAGAACCATCTTTTTTCAGCACCGACGATCACTTATGCCTCGTTTTTAGCTTCGCAGTTGGGGATTATGGTTGATACCGGGTATTTAAAGGTTTCGATCGGTTCACCGTTTAGTAGTAGAGTATGTTTGGGATGAGTGTGGACGGTCGCAAACCTTTTGGTTCTTCATGTGTTCACCTTTAGGTCGATCCCGAAGGCTTGTTGACTGATGTGGTCAACGATTACTCGGAGGTTGGACATGTTCCCATCAAGGAGGACAATATTATCAGCAAATTCCAAGTCTGTGAGCCATAAGTTCGGAGAGATATGAACTCCCTGGTATCCTTCCATCGAACGACCCATTATCCAGTCAGCGGCAAAGTTGAACAGAATTAGGGACAATGCACAACCCTCTCACACTCATACTCCTAACTCTAACGCACATGATTCCTCACCGTAGATGCGAATTCGGGCATTATTGTTGGATTAGTAGAAGCTCATACGCTTGAAGAGTTTCACCGGGACACCATTCGCCGGAACTATGTTCCATAGGGATTGGCAATCTGCAGAACCGAAGGCCGTACAAGACTCAATGAAGCAGACTGCTGTGGGTTGTCGAAACTTGTGGTGATGTTCCAAGAGTCGACGTAAAGTGAATATTTGGTCAACGCAGCCCACACTGGGGTAAAATCTCTTCTAGTTAGGACGGGTGCGCGCGTGCCTTGTTGCAGCAAAGTGGTTCAGCAAAAGTTGTGCGAAAACCTTAGCCACCATATCAAGTAAACTGATGCTTCGCACGCTTATTTGTCGCCGGTTTAAGGGAAAGGTAGTAAAATCGATGTGGTCCAGTTAGTTGGGCAAATTTTAGTTTCCCAGATTGCATACAGTAAGCCACAGAGAGGGTGCAAAATGGCTGGTGAACAATTTGCATAGATTTCCTCGGGTATCTCATCCTCACCGGGAGATATCTGCAGCTTGAGATGGTTGATTAAATCTAAAACTTCTACCGATGGCGAAGCGCAGCCAGCTTTGAATGGCGATGATGACGAGGAGGACTCATACGGAGATTGGATTTGAGGGTGATTGATGAGAAGACTGAAGTGTTCCATCCACCAAGACATTTCTCCTTCGGCCTCGGAAATGAGCTCGCTGGAGGCGCTGCGCAACACAGATGGGGTGATTTTTTCCTTGACTGATGCTGACCAAGTAAGCTGGAAAAGAGTTGCCTTGTTTCTCAGGTCGGCTGCTGTCTTCATTTTTGTTGCCATTTCATTTCAGCAGTTGCATCTATCGTTCCTGGCTTATCATGTTGCTTGTCGTCTGAGATCGTGATAAGCAGAGGATTGAGCTAGGCGTGCCTCTCTGGCCGCATTAGCTAAATGGATGATGTGATCAGATATCCAGTCCTTCAGATGACGTGACTCAGTGCCTAGTTGATGTAGAACTGCTTGCTGTACCGACATCAGCCTCGTCCTTTGGGTTTCAATGGGACTTCCTGGTTCCCTGCGTACCGAGGTGATCGTTTGACAGTTGTGCAGTTACCATGCCCAACAATGCCTGGCATTTCTCGCTGTTCTCTACTGAAAGCACATTTAGGTGTTTAGAGGGGAAAATCTTGATACAGGTTGTTAGATGGTGTCTAACTTTTGCACGAACTAGCGTGTGATCAGATCCGCTTTTATTATCGCATTCAGTCCCGCGATAGATTCGACAGTCTTCAACTGGAGAAGCCCATCATGAACATATGCGAAGGTAATTTAGTTGGTTTTTGCTTGTCCATCGTTAGAGTGCCACTTCAGCATATGCTTTTTGGATGTTGAAACCGCGTGCTGGTAATAAACAGTCGATTATAGTCGGTGCAACTGAGTAGCCTGTCACCATTCAGCGCTGCGTGGCCTCTTCTTTTGGACCAGTTCGAAGGTTCCTTTCATCTGCTATGGCAAGTACTTCCCGTTTGGGTACGTCATTAATAAGCGGTTGAAGGCTACTATAGAACTTATCCTTAGAGTTTTTCTCGGATGGGGGAGTCGGGACGTAGACAGCGATTACTGTGAGGTTATCTGGATGGCCCTTCAATCATGCTGCTGCAATCCTAGAGGATACCACTTTCCAGGACACTAAATCATTATTAGCTCGATGGCTTAAAGCAAGTGCCACTTCGTGTTGACCCGACGTTTAATTACCCCTGTGATACAGCCAGTATTGACTATAGATGCCAGAGATTTTGATACTTTTGGAGCCGGAGCTCGCTAACCTGACATCTGATAAGCATGTAATATCCAGCTGATAGTCATGCAGACCACTTGCCGTTAGCACCTGACTCCCGGCATCTAAGAGTGTTCTTACGTTCTATCATCTAATGTAGGAATTTTCTCATAGTTTAAGGTGTCCAGTGCGTATACTTGTCACTCCAGCCACTGGATGAGCATAGGGAGTGTCGCCCTCTGGAAACGCAGTAGCATGATTAGCGAGATATGTTAGGCGATTAACCATGAAATTTCCAGGAAAATTGGTACAGAAAACGCTTCCGGCGTGATCCGGCTTTGGGTCGAGGTGGTTTCACTCTCCTTTGCACATCCAAATGCTAACTGCAGAACAGCAGGAAGGTAGCGCATGGTTGCCGGTGGCCCTCTGGGGTGTGTTTCTAATTGAACAGAGGTCCATGAATACGGATTCATTGCTTTGGCCGTTAAGTCGCGAAGGCTAATTCGTCCGCACAACACGTGCGTTAGACACCGACTCGCCGGGGGTTGCAACCATACAGGTTCTTAGAGCCACAGGTCAGAGCTGAGCGCCTGGTGGAAATAAAAAAACAAAGAATGCCCAAGGGAGCCGAAAGCCCTCCGAGTCAGAGGTGTTACTTCTGCCGGGTACCTCATGCAAACCCAATCTTGGCCTGTAGCAAGCACATGGGTTATAAGCGAAGGTAATAGTTATAAAAAAATTCTTTTTTACAATCATTTTCGGTAACAAGATAATTTAACTTACACAAGGTGTCCTACTTAAATTCGTCGTGCCTTTTATCATTGACGAATAAGAAAAATATTATGACGTGAGGAACCATAAATATTCGCACTGTAAAGGACCAGCTTTCAAAGGTTGATTATTCTCATCGATGTATGCACAATCAACGTTCTACCTTTGCAATCCGTTTTCACTTCTCATCATGATTGCCCATTTACTGAACAGTAAATATTTAAACCCATTTTAATGGCATGTATTCTACAGTAAAAGTGAAATCGTTTTCACTGAAAATTCTATCCACAATGCACGAATAAAGTGCCTGCTTGGCCTGACTTGAAGTTCAAAAGCCATGATGAAAGACTTTGTTCAAAATAATCAAGCAACGATAGAACGCGGGAATAGTTGTAACGGATTTGTTTCGAATACACAAATAAATTAAATGCAAACGAATTTTTTCTTGTTCCATGGAAATGAAGTGTGAGCTGAAAGGTTAGAAAGCACTGTACAACTGTCTCTATCGGATTGGGTCTCTTCGAGGTCGAAACAACTGTGCACAGTTCTTCCCAGCTTCTCATTTCATGCTGAAATCGCCCTGTCCACAATGAAATTCACTAAGCAAAGGTAAAACGATTGAAAAAAGAAGATAATTTATTACAGATTGTGACCTGAATGACATTATATCTTTTCATCTGGATCACGTTTTCTGATCTCTTAAAATTGCTTTTCCTGTTTCTAGGCCGTAAGTCTGCTCGTTAGTCTCGGAGACGGTCACTTTGGTTATGGCTTACGTAACGGAACTATTGGCGTGTACAATCGATACAATCGTTTATGGCGAATCAAGGTGAGTATGCGACAAATTTTGACACATACATGATGAATTTAATTAATTTTCATTCATTCTGGAAATACCGCTTTAAATTGAGATATAAGTTCCATTTAGAATCGTGTAAGGTATGATGCAATGGATTAAGTCTCACTTACAGTTACTCTACCCAATTGGATCAAATGGATTGGTGTTTATCAAGCATCTATTTCACTGCAGTGGGAGGATTTTGCTGATAATTTAATAAATATATTACAGCATATTACATCAGAAGCGTAAACGACAACAAAACGGCGATCGATGGCTTTGTACAGATAAGTGGTTGAGTAGGTACGAAAGAGAATCCATTGACCAATATTACACAAGTTGATGATAATTTGTGAATGCTGTTTTCACTACCCTTGTTGAGCTGTGCTTTGAAATCTTTTCTCTTTCTAGTCCAAACCAATTCCGGTGTGTTTTGCTTCGTATGATATCAATCAAGATGGTCATCAGGAACTGATATGCGGCTGGGACAATGGGAAGGTACGTGATTTCTTATCGAGTCTGCTCTTATTAATTCTATCAGATTTCGATTCACATTACTCAAATCATGTTTCGTCCTATTCAATTCAGCCAGTACAAAATGTAATCTAGCAGCTAGACTTGTTTCAAAACAAAATATTGATCTGACCGAAGTGCATAATCGTCACTCTGCACGAGGACTAGATGATCTCAGATGAATGCAAACATCATGTAACGCTGTCGTGAGAAAATTTGGCAGTAACTTCCTCCAACAATTTTCGTGAAAATATTGTAACTACTCATGAGTAGTGTAATTTGTAAATGATTAGCCTCATTCAGTGAGATTCATGAAAATATTTGTTACTAGTAAACCGAACATGGTTGGACAGAGATACAATTTAAAGATGTTGCAATATGGTTGGGAAGTGTTTGATTTTATTAGTCAAACCACATGCGATGTTGCATTGCGTCCAAGTAGTCCCATATCATTCGCCAATAGAGCGGCTGCGTGCAGGTCGGTTTTCCACTCGGTGGAACCTGTTGACATGCTATCAAAGTCACAATTTAAGACAAAATGACTATTACACCACCTTATTCCACAAAATGCGTATCTCAACAAAATGAAAATTAAGTATTAACAAAAAAATTATCTAAAATAATAGATATATTTCACCATAAAGTTAGTTAACAAAGATTTAGTGGAGAGAAGGTTAGAATTGGTTACCTCCGCGGAATCTTATTATCTCCGTTGCGCGTTGAGTCCACTAGGTCTCGCGGTCTCCGCTTAAGCTTGTGTTGAGGTTACATCTCGTTACTAGTCATATTTCATTACAGCCGCAGCCGGTCGGAATTGATCGACGTGCGTTGAGGAGGCGCCGAGACTGAGCGGAAATCCATAGTGCCACGACACGACGCGTCAGACTACATCTTATTAAGTCAGTAGAATCCAGAGCATTCCTGATAAGCGACCAGTGCGGACTGATGTTATCAGGCGGGGTTATTTCTAGCTTTTCGGCTAGCTCGTTTTGAATTACAGTTAGGCATGCTGGTTAAGACAACTTATTACAGTCTAACCGTCTCTGCGTCTTGTGTCTGGAGCGCTCGCCGAAGCACATGGACAGCTTGGCTCAAATTAATGCGTGATCGGATTCGAGGGTAGTGCGCCAGTACGATAGACAGTCTTGTATTCAACCCTCCATTTTCGGCTTGTAGCGATCTGCGTTTGCCTCTGACTCCAGGAGGGTGGATGCCAAGTGGCTTGGAACGTCTGATGTTCGTACTGACAAGTAATGGGTGGTGGTCGGAACATAGAGCCAACAGCCATTA